GGGGGTAAGGATCAGTTGGGTGACTGAGCTTTTGTGACGGGTTGTGCGGATTTGTTTGCTGACAGAGCCTGAAGGGAAACAAAAACCTTGGGAAGAGTGCCTTGAGACGAGCATAGGGGACTGCTAGGAGTCGAAGTGCAGTGGTGCTGGGGTTAGAGCAGGGGGCACCTAGTCCAGCCCAGCAGCCTGTCTCTGTCCGTGGCCACGGCCTGGAGGCCCTGTGGCCTGGGGAGAGCAGGAGGCTGGAGAAAGCCCAGTGTGCCCGGGCCCCTGACCACACTCCCACCACTGACATGTCACGACCCAGACACTTCTTGTTCACCTGTGTGGCTTGAAGCAGCTGAGGCCGTGCAGAGTCCTAAGTCAAGTCACTGATGACCTAATCCCATATTAATAAGCACCTTTTTCTCTTGGGCAGGACAGAGGCAGAGGACAACACAGCACACACGTGTCCTTGTTCACCTTCCTGTTACTATATAGAGAGTTTCCATGCAGAAAAACCCCAGACCTTATCATGGACCACTTGAATGTTTTTGAAGACATTAACTGCCCTTCTTACAGAAAGAAACTTTCCTTGAATGCAAAAAAGCAAGCTTATAGAGAACCCAGCAGAAAAGCATACTACCTGACAAATTTCACCAAATACTTTTAGCAAGGAAATAGTTATGTCAGACTAAGAAATGCTGGTGTTTTCAGAAATGAGTTATCATTCACATGAGAACTGATTCCATTAATTTCAGTTTTATCAATGGACATAGCCGTGAGACAGCTTGAAAAACGTGTTATGCTAAGTATCTCCCAAATGGACTTCGAAGTTGAACCGGCCAGGGTGGTCGGCTTCCACCTGGTTTTCGCAGCCTGGTTGCCGGAGGAACATGGAAGCAGGTGGTGTTGGGCTTCTTGAGACCGTGTGCTGGGCGAGGGGGAGTAGTTTGTCTGACATTGGACCACGTTGTTTGTACTAACAAAGTTTTTAAGCAGCCTCTCATATCAGGGCTGTGAAAAGTTGCAATTTTGCCTACAGTGCAACTGTCTGAGGTACCAGGGCTGAAAATACTATTACAGAACAGTCCTGTAGAAAGTGAGTCTGAGTCTAATGGAATCTGCTCCCCTCGGTTCTTCAACTCGTGGAGCAGAAAGCACGTTCTATACCGTGAAGTTCTGTGTAAAACACAGATACTCCAGAGCGCACCCAACTCCCAGCCGCAGCCCCCTGAAACAAGTCGACTAGGGACAGGCTGCCTGTAGGCGTCAGCCTCGTACTGTGGAACAGCATCAGGGCAAGTCAAGAGCAGCTGGGGTTTGGTTTTGGTTTTTAAAAAAATCAAAGCAACCTCACATCACCCCTGTTTTACTTAAAAACAATAAAAAAAATAATCTCAAGTTTACTCCTGGTCTTACAGATCAAAAGAGGGAGAGCTAATGATGTATTGCTGCCATTCTTGTTTCCCACATCTGTGTTTCTCTCTCAGAAGTATTTGTATTAAAAGGTAAGTTTTAGATGATCACAACTGCGTGCTCTGCAGCCACCCCAAGACTTCAGCAGCATAAGCAGCTTCAACCTTCTGCCTCCTTACGTGTTCATCACTTATTTTTCTTCACCATTGCAGTCAGACTCCTGGAGGGTAACAGGCTGTCAAATAAAACGTGACGGAGCACTTCCACACCAAAGGAGCTGTCACACCTTCGCTCGAGATGAGAGAACTGTTGAAAGTGTTCTCTGCCTCGAGTCTTGCAGTATGATGATGCCAATTATAAATAACAGTTTAATATAGAAGAGTTTGTTGCAGAAACCGACAAAAAGGGTGGAAGGCTATTAACTGCCTGCGATTTTAGACACTGCTGTGTTCTCTTGAAGGGGTGTGGGGCAAATAGTACATGACTGCACAGCTAGAAGTGATGAAGGGAGGGGTAGTTTAGAGGCAGTAGGTATGAAGCCAGCTCTACCTAGGGGGAAACATTTTAATTACTGGCTTAATTACAAAATAGGGGACTACCCTGGGATAAGCAATTAATGGTGAGCCTCACGGGTTAAATTTTGTTAAAAGGTTCTAATTAAGTGGCCACCAAACAGAAGTAAACCTAGCTTAATTTTATTGACACCAAGAAAAGAAAAAGATGGCATTTACATTGCTGTTGGATAAGTTGCTTTGTAGCAAAGTGCAGATTACAGAAAGATACCAAGTTCAAAACAAACTTCTTGCTTGTATGTGAGCCAAAAGATAGAGGCATTCATGTAGGAGCTAGATAAAATGTGTGCTTAACAATTCAAAGGCGGCTTACTAGGTACACTTTTACATTGCTCAATTTTCTGCATAAAATCCAGGATTTTCAAAATGAAAAATTTGTTTCATGTGGTGGTTTGAAGTGAGCACAAACCCTGTAAAAATAGAAAGGCAGCCCGTGTACTTAGAAGTTCACAAACAAATCACTCTGGATGAAAATTCAGAATACAGTTTTTCACACAACTCTGAATTATGCATTGTCCTTCCAGAGCAGAGGCACAACGCAAGTTTGCCTCAGTCCGCCCATGGAATCACAGATTTCTCCCAAATACAGCGTTGTACTCAGTTGTTGCGTTATAGGGGGCAGAAGCCGACGTTGGTGACTTCTGGCAAAGTGAACGATTCCTGAAAAACAGCCCAACCAATCAAAAAAGCCCTATACCAATACCTCTGCATTTCTAAAAGCTTTTAAAAACAATTTGCTGTAAAAAAAATAATGATTCAGAAAGTATTTTGTGGTAAGAATATTTTATATATATTTTTTTTTTTTTACACTTTTAACACTTACAAAAACATTCAAACACAAAAAAATTAAATAACTTTGGAAGCAGAACAAGTCCTTCTGCCTACACACATACAACAATTCCGAGCTGTTGGCACAAAAAGTAACCCACATTCATAAAACCCTTACGACTATATCAAACATAAGTTAAGTAAATCATAGGCACTAGTTTATCAAATCCATATTTCCACACTTCTGCAGTAAAACTCTAAACACAGAGCCCCGTGATTTCCTGATATCAATAAACTGGTAATGCACAAAGGCCTCCTAGTGAACAGGCAGTCTGTCTTTTCAGGAAGTCATTTGCTGTATTTCAGGGGAGAACAGCAGAGAAAAGAATCCCTACACAACTTAAGCTGAACTTACCCAAGTGATGAATTACTTAACTTAAGGAAACATACACAAGTTTGATGCAGCCATGATAAAACCCCCAATATCGTCACCTAAACTGACTTTCAAAATTTAAACATCAATCAGGTGTTTGATAAAATCAATTAAAATTCACCTTTTTCTCAACGAAGACTCAGCATTGCTTTGTAAAATGCTGCAATGTTAGGATTCGGGCTTTAGTGAGAATATGCACACCTGATCTAGTCTTCTCTCCTGCTGCGTAGCGACGTGAGATACTGACTGACCTCCATTCTCTGCGCCAGCGAATGACACACAGCTAGATCAGTGGCACGTACTGGCCCACTGGTGCAAGGTAGTTTCTTTACCCCTGCTGAAATCTTACTGAATTACAGTATATTTGATACCCTGACTTCAAAGTCTCGGCACAGATCTCGGTCTGGAGTGTGAAGTCATTCATCAACCCAAAGTCTGCTTGGGTAATCAGAGCTGCAAATTAATCTCCGCTCCTTCCTATTTGGCTTTTTCCAAGTCAAGTAGCATTGCATGGCTTTTCATCCAGGAATATGTTAATGCTGGCCTCAAACTCAAGCGCTAGAGTTCAGGGTTAGTTATCCTCTTAGTGGTGGGAGTCAAAATACACCAGCAGTTGCAAACTCCGATCCTAACGGGGCTGAAGGCTACCTACCATCCAATCCGACTTGTAGTGTTCGTCAGTCATTGCACAAAGGACACACCATTCACGTTCTCTTACTTCATCAACTGTACATCCAAAATACTGAAAAAGCTTCAAACAAAGTCCCTTCCATTTAACTAGTCCCACCCAATACGACTTCAGTTACAAATGTTTGCATGATGTCTTCCAAAACAGAAAACAATGGTTCAAAGGCTAAATATATGAATGAGTTGTTCTGAGCACAATGTGTTAGAATAAGTCAGAGCCACCAGAGGAATTTAATAGCTTGTAAACAGACATAGCAGGTCTCATACTCTGTTACCAGTAACGTAAGATACACATATGTAAGGCAAAGTACATATTTAAACACACTTACATGGGCAATATCTTCTGTAAAAATATTTACAATTTAAAATAAACCAATTTAAGAAATGGATAAAAGTAAAAAAATAGGATACAGAAAACTCCCTCATACCATGGAACATCACCTAAATGAATATCATTTGGCATCAAGAGTCAACTCATTACCTTAAAATTTGTATGTTACAAGTGCATAGTTGTGTTTCCTTCTCCTTAACTATCAGCATCATTTACAGTTGCTCCAGGCTGCAAGCATCATGGTAGGGTATTCGAACAAATTAACGTTATGACTCGCTCTTTCCTTTGTAAGGAAACCTGCTATAAAAAAAGCTTTCCCCAAATAGCGAGCCGTGGGTTAAAAATGTGGCTACAATAGCAAAGGCCATCTTTCCTGAGCCAGGAACTTCAAGGTTAGAAAGATTGTACAACTGATACTGAGCCCTTTTGGCAATCAAACATGTAAGAGCACGTAAAGCTGATAAATCAACATAGGAAAGATGCAATCTACACTATCGCCTTGGCGCCTCTCTGCTACATTCAAACCTTTACTGTCAATAAAAGCCACAGCTACTGCTCACTGTTCTGCCTAATCCTCCAGGTAACTCCCTGGAGGACGGACGTACCACGTTCCCCAGTGAGAGTCTCGCACACTTGTTAGAAGCGCTGTTTCACTAGCACTGTAGCAGCCTGCAGTCAGAGCATTAGCTCTGATCAGCGCAGTCTTGACTCAACAGTACCTAATTCACCAACCTCTCCGATGAATTAAAACAGGCTGAAAATGAAGGTTTGGACAATGGAAGCTGACTGTTACACTTGCTGTTTTTCAAGATGGGCATTTCTTTGGCATTCGTTAGGTTTTTGCCCAGACATTGGCCACTGTCATAAATGCTCACATTGATAGAATTTTAGCAAGCAAGGAAAAAAAACCCCAGAATTGAGAGCAATTTAATGTAGAAGTGATTGTTTGACCACCAAACATCTGATGTTAGATGTCATTAAAGTGCTGCTTTATAATCTCTGCCGGTTTGTGCTAACTAGAGACAGAGAGGTCAGGAATTTTTACAAATCCCAAAAGTCACATCTGAACAGTTTGTATAATCAAGCTGTCTTTTAGCCCGGTGAGGAAGCATCCATGAGCACTGGAACTTTGCATTATGCTTTGCAGGTCAGTAGCAGCCATCCTTCCAGCTCTCGTCTTTCACGTTGCCATAGGTTTTGGGAGTGGGTAATGATCTAAAATAAAATGAGATATTTTTCAGTTTTACACATAACTGCTGAAGTCTCCACCTACAATACATAAGAATCTAAACATTTTATAAATAATTGAAACACACACTTCACTCATTTACTTCTCTGCAATACAGTTTACTTAAGATAAACCCCAAAGCATTTTCAGGTTCTGTTGTATCTTGGCAACTACCACATCAGAAAAACATCTGCATAAATAGAGAGAAAACTTTTTGCTATCATACTCTGTGGGAATTCAAACTTAGTCTGCTGCCACCTAAAGCCAGGCCATTTTGTTTTCTCTGTGATGTATAAACAGGGAAATCCTTGCTTAGAGTACTGCATTTTGCTTACATCAAAGTCTTGCCGTTGCTAGACACTTCGTTATTGCATTGTGTACAGACACTGCGTTACGTACGTAAACTTTCAAAAAAAATAGCTGTTAAGTTTCATAGGCGGAACACTTTTCTGTAAAACGAGTTGTGATTTGGACAACCACACTTCGCCACTATTAAGAACTCCCTGTCAACACCAACTGCTTTTTATCACATGAAGCCTCACGCTGCTGACAGCGCAGACTCGGACTGCGAAACAGTCAGGACTGTGACAGTCACTTGTCCTTCCCCTGCCCAGCGCTCACTGCAGAACAGAACTCTTCCACTTCACTATGACGGCTGGTTGGTCTTTTTTATGGTACTGGAGACCAACTGCTTCTTTCTGTTTAAGAGATTCTTAGTGTTTCTCTCATGGATGACTGCTTCTGTATGTCAGCTGGCTTCCGCTCGACACCGTCAGGGAATACCCACGTTAGCGTGGCACTAAGAGCACACACTCTAAATTATGCATCACCTCCTTCCGATTCTCCTGAAGAGAAAATGTCCATGTGGCCTTTCCAGTTAATACTCCATCTCTCTCGTGGTTGTTTTCCAAAACACTCTTGACATTAAGCAACTTGTACAGCTGGGTGCTAGCACAGAGGTTACGTTTAAGCTGGACCCCGTGGGGTAACTGCACTGATGTTGACGTTAAGTTCTGCAAAGGCAGCGGACGCCGCCTCTGTCCTCAGGCGTCTTCCTTCCTCAAGTTTCTCACTGCCCAAGGAGAGAAACTGTTCTCGCCATGGTACCACTGCTGGACTTACGGATTACAAGAGGAAAATAGTTCTGACTTCAGAATGTGTCACTCAGTGGTACAAATGAACGTTCACTTGCCAGCTACGTTTTGGTAGCTTTTTACCACGTGCAGCCAAACTCTTACTGCCTTCTCGCCCAGACCAAGGCACTTTGTTTACTTAGCTCAGTATCTTTCTCTATTCATTTCACTTTCACCTCTTCGCTGTCACTCACTACTTCAAGAAGCTTTTTCTCTCTCTTTTGCTCAAAACTATTTTGGAAACACAGGCAAATACTTCACGTGGAGGTCTCCGTTTCTGTTCTAAAGACCCCGAGATCAAAATAAGAATTGCAGGAAGGAGCAGCACAAATACCCAATGTACAAACTTCATTATGAACACTTCAAACTAAGACTGCCTGTCACATACTCACCTGCGAACAGGCTGTGCAAGTTTGCTACGAGGCACTGGGATGCCCCCTGCAGAAGGGGCACTGGGTCTGGGCAAACTACTCCTCATCCCTGCTGTCCCTGCCGGTCTGGTAAGAGTAGTACTATTAATGCTGCTGGCAGGGCTTGGCAAGCCTGAACTCTGGGCTGCAAGAGGCCCTGGTGAAGAACTACTGTGTGGCAGCTGTGTGGTTTCTGGGGAAGCAACTGAACCGGGTCCATGGTTACTAAATGCTTTCACTGGTTGTCGGAGAGCTAGCGGAGATGGTGCTGCAGGCGAGCGGAATTTACTTGAAGAAGGTACTGGAAAATAAAATACAGAAATTACTTTCGAGCTTAAGTTACAGGATAACTGAAATTAAAAACAGGAAGTTGCTTTATGTGAATATTCAAACAATACGGAATGCATAATGGAATACAGCCAGTCAAGCAGCAATGAGAAACAGGAATTCAGATGTCCTCTTTGTCCTGTGTTTTTCATATCATAAGTCCAATGCTCCGTTTGCTTACTGCAAATATTTATTTATCTGGATTTATAAGTCATACTAGTAAGGCTGTAACTGTCATATCAGTCAAGTCTAAAGAAACAGAGAAAAACATATTTGTTAAGAAGAAATTTAACTGCTTCAGAAACACATGAACCTAATTCCTATCCCTGAAAGAGCACGCTGAAGAATAACATATTGTGGTGTGATACAGTCTTTAATTAAGAGTCAAAGTGTGTATTAGCCTTCAGTGATGAAATTCAGAGTGCAGAGCATCCTAGTGTTTCTTTCATGCTGTTCTTTTTCATAAAATCCATTGAATTAGCATTCACCTAAGAGATGGACACATCCCAGAGTTACTGGCTGATGGGGGAGGAAAAAAAAGACAAGGCCAGCCAACCCCCACCACCAAAGAGATTTAAGGTGCTGCTGTGAAACTTAAACCAGCCAACTATAACAATTTCTAGCCTTCCTCTTCTTACAAACATTACCTGAATTATCAGTATAACTAATATCTGCATTCAAATACAGTTAGTATGTAAGGTCTTTATCAAGTCCTTTCTGGGAAAGGTTAATAAACCAGAATATTCAACAGTTCCTTGATAACGCCAAACCTTTAGGACAATTCTTCATAAGTACAAGAAATATTTTCAAATTATGCATAATGTATCGCTAAACAGAATACTTAAAATAATCCATCATCTTTACTTAAATGGAATTTCACCAGCTTTTCAAACTGGTTAGGGTGGGTCAGTAACAGTCGACATCAGACAATCAAATCCATCAGGAAAGTAAAACAAAATCATGGTTACATTTAGTCAATTTCCATGAACTATACCTTCCTCCACTAAATAAACTTTTTTTACACAGAGACCAACATTGCACCCTCTTTGACAGATGTTGTACGTAAAGAAGATGGTCCATCACATAGCTTTTATCATTTTACAAGGTAGATCATCTAAGAACATGAGGAGTGAGAGACGGGTAATGACAGGAGCGTGGCATCCTAAATGGGGTACAGAGGAAGTGGTAGTTTTCAGGTTGTATTTTGAAGCTATTTCTTATGGGGATTAATATGCGCCGCATTACAGATGTGAACTGGATGGATTCCTTTCTGGATTATCCAAGGGGGCCTGTCCACTGACACTGATATCAAACACGGCATGAAGCCGCTCATGGGAAAAGCTGACAAAAAAGGTGGCAGAGATGTCAACAATACATGACAGCTGGTAAGTAGCAAGGAGAATAAATGAAAACCCTTAAAATAAAAACCTTGGTGTCAAGCCAGAGGATGGATTAAGCAGAGCATTAAGAGCAGAATGACTGGACAAAAAGAGCAGCAAAGTGCTTGTAGGACTACAACAGACTACATATTAGAAGATTTTAAAATGTGACATTGCCTGTAACGTTGGTGCAATTGCATCTGCAGAATTTCCAGGTGATTCTGCAGCGTAAACATAGGGAGCTTTTATCACTGAACTTCACATTACAACACTTGCTTGGCACACAAGTGCAGCAGCGTGTTAGCGACTGGCCAACAGAGCAACGCCAGCGTATAAACACCGAATACAGCTTTGGGCCTTGTATAGGCACAACGGGGGGAAAGGTTTTTAGGTACAGAATATAAGCAGTGAAAAGCTGTAACTGAAGACGACTTGTCATGTTCCCAGCGAAAGTAAGCATCCAGTAAATTAGTCCTCTCCAGTTTTCTGTTGACCATATTTTACCATGCTTCCAGCTTGAGCTGTCGATTCATAAAACATTTCCTGTCAGCACAGCAGTGCAGGCTCTGCCAAGAGCTGTATTCATTCGTGTACATAAAGGAATGAATTGTCTTCCAATGTACTGTGATCTCCAAAGCATGATGCAATCTCTGGCCAACTGCCTAATAATTCTGCTCTACGTATAAAGAATTTTGTCTTAGAGCAGTTTTGGTATTTAATAAAACTCAGTTCGGCCTATTTGTAAGACAGGATCACAAAGTGAGGTACTGCCTCAGCCAAAGGCTATTTGATAGCTGGATACCCATGTGCAGCATTGAGCCGATCCACATTTAACAAAAACATGTGAACATGTTTTAGTGCTTAACAACTCCATGCAACTCCATCTCCTTAGAAACTAAACAACTAGAACCCACTGCAATTAAAACATCTGGTAACAATAAAAAATAAATGGCACCATGCAGTCACGACATTTAGATTTCCCACCCTTTCTGGATTCTGTCCTGGATTGTGGACAAGGAGCAAGAGATCCCCACCTGGCAAAGTAGGATGCTGTGAAGATACAACCGTATCCATATACGGCCAAGGCCAACTGCTGCACACAGACATGAAACCAGAATCCATTCTAATGCAGTTTTTAAATCATAACCATTGTGATGAGATGATTCAGACTGATAGGAAAGAACAGATGAGGCAAAATGACAGGAATCAATAAATGTTCTGTCACCTCAATATAGCAAAGATATGGACCTGCTCAGGTGGGTCCAGAGGAGGGCCACGAAGATGATCAGGGGGCTGGAGCACCTCCCCTGTGAGGACAGGCTAAGAGAGTTGGAGTTGATCAGCCTGGAGAAGAGAAGGCTCTGGGGGGATCTTCTAGCAGCCTTCCAGTACTTCAAGGGGGCCTACAGGAAAGGTGGGGAGGGACTCTTGATCAGGAAGCATACTGATAGGACGAGGGATAACAGTTTCAAACTGAAAGAGGGGAGAATTAGATGTTAGGAAGAAATTCTTCACTGTGAGGGTGGTGAGGCACTGGAACAGGTTGCCCAGAGAAGCCGTGGCTGCCCCCTCCCTGGCAGTGTTCAAGGCCAGACTGGATGGGGCTTTGAGCAACCTGGTGTAGTGGAAGGTGTCCTTGCCCATGGCAGGGGGGCTGGAACTAGATGACCCAAACCATTCTATGCTTCTATGATCTGACTGATACTGAATTGCTGTATAAGCCTTAAGAGATTTGTTACCGTGAGGTAAAGAGTTATTTGAACGTATTTTGAACTGGTTTAAACAAAATGGTAAGAAAAAAAAGCCAACATGTGTGTGGTGTCAAGCTATGTAATGAACAGTATTTTAAGAAGCTTAACCAAATTGTTGCTCACAGTTGTTTATTCTTTTGAAACAAAAGTCTGTTTTCATTACTGCATAATGCTTCTATACTTGCGAGAATCTCAGATCAGAAGCAAGAAAATCAGCACATCAAGGACTATAAAACAGCAAATAACTCAAAAGGACACGTTGGGTCCTCATTTGCAGTGACGAATGACAGCAACTATAAACTGGAATACATAACTGGCAGTGCAACGTGCTTGATTCCTCATTCTCTAAGGTTTAATAAATTTTACAAATAATATGAACTCCAGGAGAAGTTAATTTTCCTATACATTTCCACAGCTCCAGACTAGGCCATTGACCTAGTAAGTGTTCCAGACATCCAGGTGAAGGTGAAGGCATGGCCAACTGGAAAGACAGCACAGAAAGCTTTGCAGAGAAATTGAGATGGTGGTCTTATGTCAAAGCAGAACATTGAGAGAACTTTTCTCTATTTGGTATGAAATATTATGAAGACTGTTAGAAACCTCCTATTAAACCATACGAATCTGTTTCAAAGTCGTTATACTTTGCTAGAACTTTCTGCATGGAAACAAGTTGACTCAAAGAAGTTAGCGTTGTTAAACCACGGAGAGAAACGCATGCATTTCGTCAGCCAGCCTCAATACCTGCACAAAGGGCTCTTAAAATTCTTCAAGGATTCTAGCATATAGAGAGATTATGAATTGGTCTCAAGTGAAACACTATCTTTAAAATGAGATCTTCTAGGCTGTAAGAGACAACAGGACCGGCTACGCTTAAAACCAAAATCATGAACTTGTTTTATCTTAGTAGCGAAATTGAGGCATTATTACATAAAAGGCTGCCAGAAGCAATTTAAACTTGTCTAATTGGATTAGAGACTCAATACATTTCATTTTCTTCTCAAAAAGCAGCCCATGTCAGCCATTTGCAAAATGGAATATTATTTAAAATAGTCTGTAATTCCTTGAGAAAAAAATACCAATCTAGATTACTGTATGCTGGGGTTATACGTCCAGTTTTGAGAGGAAAAGAGAAAGTGCAAGCACTTGCGCATGTACGCGCAAAACAGGTCAACATTCTATCCTCATCTTTTCAAGGATAAACCATTAGCTTTTGTTTCCAGCACAAAGGATGGTATTTTCACTCGCCTGCATTTTTTTGCACAATCAAAAAAAGAACTATTTTTTACAACTTTTATTTTAAAAACTGTATTTTACAATTAAAAAAAGTCCTATCCAATGAATAGCTAATGAATATGGATTCAGGAGTCTAATCCAGCTTTCCTGATTAATGCTAGAAGTCACTAACCCTTGGATTTTATCTCAAAATCCAATTTAAATCTTTTTGACCTATATAACGCAGGGTTGTATTTTTAACGTTCAGACCAGAAAGTTAACTTTCATACAGCAAAGACCACTTGGTTAATCTCGACATGCAACAGCAATTTTATTAATCTAGAATATGTGAGATTTAATGCAGGCGAACAATTATCTCAGATTTGCTGGAGCTTGATAAGAGGTTGCAAGTTAATTACCTCCTTTTGCAGATGGAGTTTGAAGAAACTGTTTGGGTTTGAAGGCAGCACGAGGCAAAATTTTCTGCCTTTGCAGAGCTGTTGAAAGACAAGAAGTGTTATATTTGTCTAAGAAGATACGAAAGCTAAATTTACTGGGAATTTCAGAATTGCATCCACTTGTGAAGCATCAAGGAGCAGCGTGAGCAAAACACTCAAAAAGCTGTTACGACTCTGGAAGTGGCGGGGGGTTTAAATGGTGCTTGCCCTTAATGGTGAAGAGTTACAGAGGAGCGTGTCAGGAATTTCGCAGTGCAAAATGCGCAGATTCTGTAAGAGTGAAGCTTCTTGCAGGGCAAAAAGCCCAGAAAAGCAAAAAAAATTAATACACCAAAGGGAGAACAAGCCACCTAGCAAACATGCTACACCTAGCAAACAGCAACATGAGTGCAAGATTAGATACAAAGGAAAATTAAACTGTCGTATTTGACCTAGCAAGACTGACTATTCATTTTAAAGGAGTTTGCAAAAAAATATTCTAACACTATACAAAAGCATAAATCTTTGTCTAAATGTGATCATCGTAGAAACAAATTGTGGTTTTCAGTTACGCAAACATAAGCCACTTTGAGAGATGTCTGGGTTTTTTCTCTTCAGAAGGGTATGCAAGAGAACTCAAAACGAAGATGTAACACTAAGAATTACCAGCTGCCAGCACGTAAACAGCATGACAGAAATTTTTTTTTTTTTTGCTCCCGTGTCCTGCCTTTTTTCTAGTAACGTTCAAGGGCTGATACTGCCTTGAAATGACCTCATTACCTGCCAGTTACCAAGAGAGAAGCCAATGTTCCAAGAGCTGCAAAATCTTGGCAAGGAGAGAATTACCCATTGCCAGAAGGAACGCATCGACTCAGCGTATTTTCACTGCAGCATATTTAAGAGGGGAAGGAGGAAAGTAGTCAATGAAATAAAACTTTGCCTACACAAAGGCTTCTTAAAATGATAACATATGAACAAACAGCTCTGCTCACCTCGGTGTACGGAGTTTTATACCAGCATAAAACTGACTGCACTAGCAAGGCTTATCTCCACAGTGAGAAGGAAGAGAGGTGGGGGAAGAGCTGTGCATAAAGATCCTGACCCTGAGTAAGGAAGCTCACTAATACTATCACCAATTTGTGAATATCACTATGAAACAGGCAGGTGAAGAACAATTAGAATCCTAATAATATTAGTTAATCCTTTTCTAAACTTGACAGGATATAATAATTGCCATCACCTTTCCTATCCTTCAATCAGTGAAAAATTCACAATATTTTGTGAACTATAAAAGAAGTTCATCATGTGTTTTACCTTCATTCTGAAAGCATGACTAGGCGGTCTATTCATTTTAGTCTTAATAACTAACTAAAACCTGTCATTTTCAACAAAGCAAAAAGGAATTAAAGTGTTTATAAATGTGATAAAATGCTGCCTGTGGCTATTAAGAATAAACCCCCTATTCCTTCTACCAACTAGAATCAAATGCCAAAAAGCATGTGGCAATATGCAACTCATTCAACTTCTGGCACATGGTCTTGCTATAAACTTTTTTTAAGGCCTACCCATGAATGGCCAATTAAGCATGCACTGTAAGATGTTTAAAAATAAGCACAATTCCTAGGAATTTAGTGAGGTAGACCACTGGCCAGAGTGTTTCTGTCCACAAGTATTCCATTATACCATTTTTCACTGAATCAGTGTTTTTGTTATACCACACAAAATGAGGAACAGCTTCTTCCTTCAGATTTACGATCATGAACTTAGTTTGCCCTAATTCATTCAGTTAGATTTAAATGCACATGGCACTAAGTTTCTTTCCCCATCATTACTTACACCACTCGCAAGTCAGAGATGTGGGATGATATGGAAAGTATTTAAAAAATATATATATCAAATTCCTTCCTTCTCAGTGGAGACTCCAGGAAATAAAGACTCAATAGCTAAACAATTCTGTGCCCTGAATCACTGAAAAGAACTTCAGGCAGTGCCATCTGAGCAATGCTGAGGAAACACGCAGTTTGAGATAAGTGTGGTGTGCACGCTTACCCACACTACTTGCTGCTCCTGAAGAGCTCCGTACAGCACCTGTCACAAATGGTGCAAGCTGAATACATGTTGCTATGTTTACTTCTGATCAACTGAACTGGAATACTTGGTTTCCTCAAAACACAGGCTTTCCTCTTCCACTCTGAACATGCCAAGCAGCTGGATCTTGGCAAGCAGACTAGTTACTTTACTGATAGTTTGAACAATCTACAGCTTAGCTCTCTGAGGAAGTATACTATTTAACTCTGCTTAAAGACCGAACATCCGTGTGATAGAAGTGCCAGCTAAGTACAAAAACACCACACACGACCCGCTGGAAAGCCCGCGGATCCTGTGTGGAAGCCGCCCTAGAAGTTCTCCAGCTTTGCACAATCTATTTGGTGTAGGACTCAAATACAGAGACTTCTCGTCACTCTAACACTTTAAGTCTAAAAGATACCTATTCCTTGGAGAACAAAAGTATTACTGTATCTTCCAGTGTTTTAAGGTGAAATATTTTTAATAGCCTTCATATGACAAAAGTACTTTCTGCATAATGGCATGCAGAAGCAGATGTAAATGAAGATTCTGATAGTTACAACTGCTACTTAATTCACTCAGTCTCTCTTCAAAAAGAATTTGGATTTTTCACCACATTACAGCTAAAACTTAAAATGCCAAGTGTTGTCACGTTGTACAGTTGAACCTCTAAACATATTATCAGTGTCTTCCCTCTACTCTTTAAGCGAGTGTGTACAATTTGCCTATGTAACCATAACAGGAATGGTCTTTCCAGAAACTTACTGGATTCCTAACTCATTTTCGAATGCCAGCAACCATAGCAAGTTCAGTACTGCAGCCACAGCAAATGTGCAAGTAAATTATGAACAGCAGATCTTTGACAAGGAGAAAAGTAGTGACCTCGGGTGGCAAGCCAGCATCCTTGCAAAGGTAAGCTCATGCAAAACTAGCAGGTGTATGAGGAAGCTTCAAATCTCAAGACCCAGAAGTCATTGCCAAGGGAAAACAAAAATTTGCTGCAACTTAACAGTGCTTTGTGCAAGGTGACAAAATACAAAACCAATAAAACAAAAAGTATACAATAAAAAGGACACAATTCTGGAAATTTTCATACAATGTACATTTTTGCAGAGTATTTTTTAATCCAGACTAAGCAAAGATACTTACTCATTGACTTCATACACAAACGGTTTTACGATTGTCAATAGCAAGACTCTGACAAACATCTGTAAGAGCAGGGAAACTGTAAAAGCTAGAAATCTGGGCTTCATTAATGACACTTAACTTACATTCAAATGTAAGTTGGTCTAGAGTGGTTCACATTTGGGGAAAGATTCCCATGAAAGGCAGGCAAATTTACCTAATCATTTCTGTCGTTCTCAATGTATCCACAAGCTGAAGAAAAGTATGTATGTGTAAACGTAAGTCACATTACTTTGGCTCCTGCAATGAAGTAACTCACTAAATATTGAACATTGAGACGTCTGCTGTCTGATCTTTCCATAAGGTTTCACTGTGAATATACTTTTAATACTGGAAATAGCCTTCTAGCCAACTAAGCTGCCCTCTGTGCTCTTCCATTCCCACTTCACTCAATTTTAAAACACCACATAAAAGCTGTACAGATTTGTACTAAAAATATTTTTCCTTCATTCTCTTTCATTTCGTTGTCATTATTCTTCCTATCACAAAAATACACAGTTGGAGAGCTGCTGTCCAACTGCTCTGAGTGCTTTACAGTTTGATAGGCCCGCCTAGCAGAGGACAGTCCTGCACTTGAATGACACACGTGCCCTTTCAGTTGCAAATCCCCCATTCTGAGTGTCTGTGAATAGCGGAAGAAGGGGGCAAGGCGGAAGGATGCTGGGGTAACCTATATGAACAGCCACAAGGTCACACTAAGTTCTTTGGCTAGTGTCACACAGCTGGGACTGACTGTTCACACAACCCTTACATCTGGTCTGAGTTACTACAAAGACAGAAATCTTGTCGGTTTTGGCATGGTTTATATTCCTTATTCTGTATTTAACTGTATTTGGTTGCATTAACGCACTGTTTTGAAAGGACCAGTTAACAAGGCCAACCAGGTATGCCAGTATGCCTTTACTGTTCAGTGGGTAAAAAAAGAATTCATTTCTTTCACAAATACTATCTTACATTTCACATTAAATATTTAGATTACTGATGAACTTTTATCATACAACTTTTATAGTTCAAAGCTTTACACATAATATTATTCATAATGTGTTCTTCCCTTGAAAATGTCACACAAGGTTATTAGATTCTGAAGCTTGTTTTAAAATAAAATGGTCAGGAAACATTTAAACACAGGAACTGTCAATATTGACATATAAAGAAGCACTGAATGTTTAATTTGCTTTGGCTTCTTTAAGGTCACCACTTTCAACAGACACGTGAGATTAGCCAGCAATGGGCTCATTTGTTTCTTGGGACACAGGTTCATCCAAGCCTTTTTTAAGATGTAACAAACTTAAAGTAAATAAAATCTGCAACTGAATATATAATTTCCAGGTGACAAAACAAAAGAAGAAACTGCAAAGAAGGGTTAAACTTGCATGAAGATTTTCAGATCAGGTTCTGCCAGTTAAAAAAACCCCAAAACTATAAACACCACCTAGGTATGTATTTTCATAGCCTAGCAAGTTTTTGTAGTCTGAAAATAAAATTCAACAGTACAGAGCATTGTATCTTTGGTAAATCACAAAAAATAAACCGTTTCTGAAATGTCCAATTACTGTATTTATACTCTTTAGAAGTACTTCTACATATACTTTTAGGAAACTATGAATGATACTTTAGTAAGAGATCAGACCTCCTTTGATGGTATTTTGTGTACCAAAAAAGCAGTATGATTAAAAATCAAGATTAGCATCTCTAGTGTGGCATGCAATGTTTCTCTTTGCCATGGAACTAGAAGACAGCTGAACACCATCACTTAATTCTGAAACACACACTGACGTGTCACTAAAGGTACTTACTGGCTGAGGCTTGAGGTTGAATGCGAGGTATTCCTCCATTTGGCACTTGGAAGTTTGAGTCACTTCTGCTGTTTTTCACAGACTCAGCTTGGATGTTAGATGTCCTGGACAGGTTTGGAAGACTGCGCCTTAGTTTTTCTGTACGAAATAACACAAAGATACCTCAACTTGTACTCTGACGCCGGACAAAGCTTAGGTTATGAACCCATAGTTGAAGCCCAAATCTAAGTGACACAAAATGTTAGCCATATAAAACTACACTGGGATTTAAAAGTGTATTTTATTACAATATAGTTCTTCCATTATCTCAAAGTTCTATATTATTCTCAGATCTATCACAGAGTCACAGAATGGTAGGAGTTGGAAGGGACCTCTGGAGATCACCCAGTCCAACCCCCCTGCTAAAGCAGGTTCACCTAAAGCAGGTCGCACAGGACTGCATCCAGGTGGGTTTTGAACGTCTCCAGGGAAGGATGCTCCACAACCTCCCTGGGCAGCCTGTTCCAGTGCTCTGTGACCCTCAATGTAAAGAAGTTCTTCCTCATGTTGAGGTGGAACGTCCTGTGCTCCAGTTTGTGCCCATTGCCCCTTGTCCTGTCGCTGGGCACCACGGAAAAGAGCTTGGCCCTGTCCTCTTGACACCCACCCTTTAGATATTTGTAAGTGTTGATAAGGTCCCCTCTCAGTCTTCTCCAGGCTAAAGAGCCCCAGGTCTCTCAGCCTTTCCTCATAAGAGAGATGCTCCAGTCCCCTCATCATCTTAGGAGCCCTCCGCTGGACTCTCTCCAGTAGGTCCCTGTCCCTCTTGAACTGGGAGGGCCCAGAACTGGACACAGTACTCCAGGTGTGGCCTCAGCAGGGCAGAATACATACAAAATATTTATATAAAAAAAGCAAGAATGTACATTTTTCACCTGTAGTGAAGACAGTCAAGCATAGTGTGTTTTGAAATGAAAATGTATCTGGATGATAATTCTCTGGGTTTTGTTCCACTGTTAGGCAAACTGAATAGCCAAACCTCATTTGCAGTTTTGCACAGTTTTCAAAGTCTTTACACAGAAATTTATAATACAGAATATTTCCCTGAAGATTAAAACCATGTAGTTACTGAGTCAATTTTTGGGACTACCCAGTCCCCTATCAGCACATTATACAACAAATAACAGCCACCCACTTAGAAAGAAGCTCTTCACACACAGCATTCAAAATTATTGAAGTGTCCAGTTATGCTTCATCTTTCATATATGACTTGACTATCTGTTCAGTTAACACTGGTTCTTCAAGGGTTTTCTAAAATTTGTACCTTTGCTCACAGAACACAAAATGATGCCATTGAACATTTCTCAAGTCTAACGACATTCTGTGTATCTCCAACCCATGCAGAGCTGGGCTGATGACACACTTTGGACAGGAGAGTGCCTTGTCAGGATGAGCGGCCAACCTGATTCTGCAGAATGATGCAGTAGAGAAGTACAGTAACCATGCACAAGCACTGAACATGAAAACAAAAGTAAGAGTCTTCATAAGCTGAGTATTCCTACAAGCGTACTTTCTGCACTTAGTAGTCTGCATTGCTTTGCACTGCAGTCGGTACACTGTTGAACCCTGCCAATCAAATTTCCCTCTAACCATTCTAAAGAAAAAAAAAAAAGAAATCCCAAACAACTTTTTTTTTTGGCTGCTGCTGAATCAACTCTGAATATCCAAGCAACATTCAACTGCACAAAAAACACTGCAAGAGAATTCCTTGGAAGTGTTTCAGAAAAACATGATCACACGGTCTATTTTGATCCCTCTGGTATGTGGGATACCAGCTTTTGGTACCTTGCCTCTCATGGGATATTTTTGTTGGAGCTTATCTAGCATGCATTAAGACTTTCATGAAACCCCAGAAAATAATGGGAAAGGAATTCTCAACTAAGCCACAATACAATTGATTAGCTTGTGCATTGTACATTTTCCTATATACCTAAAACTTCCCCAAACCGCTATTACTAGATGAGACTTAAGCTAACCCTTCCAAAGATATTCTTGAATAGCTAATTAAATTTGCAGGATCATCTTCCGCAAAAGCTCTAGCCTAGCAATCTGATTTTCCCAATTAAAATGCTAAAATTTCTTAGTCAATGAAGCTCTGTAAGCGGCATAGACCTCTTTGCTGTACTAGTGGGAAGAAAAACAAAACCAACAAAAAAAGCTCTCATCTCTCACATCTACATCATCTCTCCTGCAGACATTTTGCATCCAGCTTACCTGAAAGATGAAAAAAATAAGGTGAATTCTTACTATCTAGATGTATATTCTTTCTGAATTTTAGATTTGCCAGATAACAACTACATTTGTTAAAATGAGAATACACTTGTGAAATTTCAGCCCAGTTAAAGGAGTTTCTGCCAGACTGCTAGCAGGAAAAAGTACATTCAAGAAGCAAAATCATATTAAGATTGCATTATTTTGTTCTATGCCAATATAGTATCACTATGTCAAGTTTACTGAAAGCTTTATTTTTTATCACGCAGCAGTTTGCACAGCTTTGAGATATCTAAAATATCCAACAAATGCGTGACTTGAGCACTAATATTTTTAAGGCTTTGTTCATGCTCAAAGAGTTCAGAGTCCTTCACTGTCAGAAGAAAGCACTCTGCTATCTCACAGGCTACAAGTGTGCATAAATTGTCACGTTACTCTTATCTGATCACAGTTACTTTCCCTGCATTTTATTCTGTCACCTGCAAGGCCCAACCCTGCTGGTGAATGATAGTTTCCCTTGGGCTCTGCCAAAGACAGAACTCTGTCACCACAGAGTTACACCCAGAGTGACTGGATAATATCTAAAAGAAATAAAAGCCTATCAACTCGAAAGGTTGGACCAGATGATCCTTAAGGTCCCTTCCAACCCGGTACTCTGATTCTATGACTCTGTGGGTTCCCCAGAAGGACTTAAGCTTTGCTTGCCCTGCTTTTTCTTCAACAACTCTGAGATTAAACCATGATGTTACAGTTACATAGTTTTAGCACTGCACACTGACCAAAATCCTTTAGAGGAACTACACAACTACTTGTGTAATGAATTTGAGACAGAGCTTTTTACCTTCACTTTTGACATTGCTAGTCTGCAAATCTGTAGGATGGCCTTGAAGCGAAAGACGAGGTTGCTGTAAACGGCTAATCATAGGTTGGGGCGACACTCTACTGTATTCTATGCTTCGAGCGGGTGATCGGGAGCGAGGTGAATTCCTTGGAGATTGTTTTGGTGAAGGCCAGGGAGAACTGCGAGGTGATGGTGAGAACCTGTTAACAGCAGGGTGGACTGTGTGATGTGTGCCATCTTCTTCATCTTCTAAACTCTGCGCATCGAGCTCCTGATCGCTGAATGTGCCTCGCCGCGTAGAATTGCAAGAAGAACCAGAACTGCGCCGAGAAGCAGTTGCTGCGTACTCTTGCCGGAGGCCTGGCAACAACAAGAACGTTGTTTACTTGCTTCCAGCCCACAAATGGTTCAAAGTACAGCCAGTGCATACAAATATCTACCCAGTGCTCCGATCTGGCTCACCTTAACTCTGTTTACGTGAGGCGTTAAATTAACTCCAGATTAGTGCCAAAAAAAATTATCTACCAGCTGATAGTCTTGAAATAAGTAGGCGAGTTCATCCCTCTTCCTGCTACAGCAATCACCAGTATAGGTGTTGTGTACTTGTTCATCTCCTCTCCCAGGCTGGATACGAGCAACACAGGAACACAGGCTACACCTTCACTTTGATATCACATTAACATCCTATGACCATTATAGCAGCCACGATGAAATGTCTCTTGCAATGTATTAGTGAATGTAACAAAAAAGCTATATGATAACCTACCCTTAGGGAAACTCGAGTTGTTAGACCAGTGGTCTCCGAAGTGGGAGTACGCAAAACAATCCACTTGGGTGCAGGAAGAAAATTTTATACTACCAATAAAATAATATTTTAAAAAGAGCATTTATTTCATGTTTATTGCATCTTTTTAACATTTATGTTTTTGTGTATGTGTATTTTTCTGTATGTAATATATTAGTAGAATAGCACATGTATATAATTTATAACAAAAAATACATATATTTGGTGTTTGGTTTTTTTCATTGATAGGGCATTCAATAAAGAAGTCTGGAGACAACCTAGTTAGACAACTGAAATTACTACCACTTTCTGCAGTCTCAGAGGGACAAAAAGCCAAAGTCTCAACCTATAAGAAAAGAGAGTCATCTACATAGCTGCTTTTCTTAGCTATTCTTTGCCATATTGACTTCACATTTTGGTGATTCAAATCATGGTTTAAGCACTGATGTCAACAAGACTGGATTACATCGGGAAGGCACTTAGCTCCCGAGAAGACTAGTGTCTAACAACCATCCTTTTAGCTTATACTCTATGCTAAAAATTCATATTCTTTCTAGTATTTCTTTTATCCGCTGTTCTAAAGAACACTTCTGCACAGCAATTTTCTTTCCTGATCGTGGAGGCAGAAGTCCTTAGCCAGCCTTCTTGGGAGAACTACGTTTGTACATCCACAGTAGAATCTACGCCCCTTTTTCCATGTACATCCACAGTAGAATCTACGCCCCTTTTTCCAGTCCTGCTGAGCAAGTGCTACTGCAGTTATTCAATTAAAAAAAAAGATCAACTGCTCCACTTCATTTTCAGGATGGAAAATACTTACTTTCTTCCTGCATTCGTGCTAAAATTTGCACATCTGTAACATCATTTAGCTTGTAATTAGACCCAATAGAGTCTTCATCCATCTCTGATGCACTTAATTCACTGTCCAGAGAGGACTGTGGACTTAGCGGAGGATTTCTATCTGCTGAACTTTTAAGATGACCTACAGAGAAAAAGTAAAGTAATAGGAAATGTTTAAAAAAAAAGGGGAAGGGGGGCAAAAAAGGCAAGCTGTATTTCCTTTCCTAGTAAAAGAACCACCAATCTGAAAAGAGAGGCCATTTGAAGGCAAACCTAGGCTGAAAACATAAATTACACAAGCAGAGTTTAGCCATTACCTTCTAAATATGAGCACCTTTCTAAAATCGTTATAATGGTGGCAAAACAAATTAATGTCATATCATCTGGTCTACCTGCACCAAGTTTCAACTGCTCTGAAGTCTGCACAGCTCTTACAGAAAAAGCAAGCGCATACCTATTCCATTTCGGCTTTCACTCTCGTCTCTGCGCTCTGCCTTTTAAGTTTGACTACATCTTTCTTGACAATGAGGACCTGATGATCCAATGAATATTGACACTTTGTAATGCTTAAGACACAGTTTATCTGAAAATAGTACCTGTTCTACGTACACATCTTTGCTAAACTATAACATACCAGAAAAACTCTTCCTGTTCACTGCCTTCTGGCTGACACCCCATTGCCAGTTACATTTCATCTCTCTGTCCTGCAGGCAGATACAGCATTGTAGCACACAATGCAGAGCAGAGCTGCATAGATTAAAACAAAACCTGGCTCTGGTGAATACGCTGCAGTTGCAGGCTTCTCTTCACAAGTCCACAGCGAACTACAGATAGGTGGACTGTCAACGCAATGTTTTTCCATCTCCCCTGCAAGCTAACTTCAGTTAAAGTATATGTAATAAGCCATCAATCCATGCAGAGTACAGGTATGTTCCAGGCATCAATTTTTCTGATGCAAAGAAAGTGTGTATGGTGCAGAATAAAGGCAGAAAACGTTGCCAGAAGTTCCTGTTAACACTGATGACTACAAAGCCTCATGGAATACCTTCAATTAAAATACATGCTCCTTCCTTAGATTACGCTGTTCACATCTCAGAGGTACTAATGGATATGCTGCATACCAAATGTGTCAGTTAATAAGTAAAAGGGTAGTTGTAAAAACTTTACAACTACCAAGACATAACTTTTAAACACCTACTATGCAACTTGCATCCCAGTCAATCAGAGGGACAATTCTAGAAGCCGCTTGAGTAGGTTGGGACTCCATAGAACTAGCGCTACATGTTTTGGTCTAACTGCTAACATGCACCAGTGATTTTATGTACATATCATGCCAGAAAGTCTGTAAAAAAGCCTTTCCTAAAAAGCTTAAATATGCTATGATGCAAACATCCTATAAAAGACTGACAAGTTTTTGGGGGTCTCTCTTACTCTAGCTCAATACAAATGTATTTAAGTGCATATTTTTGAAAGGAAGAGGAGGAAGAAGAAAGGGAGAGACCAGACACTCACATACACGCTTACCTGAGGTACCAGGAGGTATGAGCTGTTTCACTAAAGCAGATTTCACCGGTGTTGAGGAGGGAGAGTTGAAACCACTGCTATAGGGGCTACTAGTATTTGGACTATAGGAGCTCGCATAACTGACTGCACTGAAAGGGCTGCTGTACAAACTCTGTCTCTTGAGAGCTGTATGAAAGAGGAGGAAAGTGACAAATTATACCGAAGGAACCAACAAAACATAAATACAATACTATATGATAACTTCAGCGTGATTTACGCAGTTCAAGTAGAACATTTCCATCACCAGATAGTTTTTCAACTGATTTAATCTCCTAGATACAACCATACTGTGGAAGGTGTGGGAGAAGAGGGCAGCACAAAATAGCAACAAGTATTTTCCTTGCAAAAGTTAGATCCAAGATCACTACGACTGATCTCTTTAAGATGTTCAACGCAGGTGTTGGGAAGGAAGAGGAAAGCAACTCAAAAAGACAGTAGTATCCAAGCTACGCGAACATATATCCTATGCACAGCTATGTACAAACCAGAGCACACCATGAAGTCTAGCTCTCCAGAATTCACAGACCTGTCTAGATCACACAGCATTTCAACAGTAACCCGACAACCACCACCACAGAACTAAGCAATGCCACCTACAAAATTCCCCAAAGCATATACTAAAATGAAAAACCATTAATCATGGCAAATGCGTGCTCATATTTCTGGCTACCATGAACCTACATGGGTTCTATAACAAAAAAACCCAACCAAACCAACTGTAGGTCTATTCCCTTCTGTATAGCTCCTGTTCTAATGATTTGGGATTTTTATGTCCATGGGCTCCAACTCCATATAGAATACAAGATCTAAAACTGGGTACTTTCCTCTGCCATTTATTGTAAATATTTCAATGCTAAAGTATTTTCAGATTGATTTTAACCACTGGCAGACCTTTTCAGTATGATACTGTGATTCCCCTAGTTGCCAGGTACAATTTGTATAATTTGTATAATTACTTAAATAACTTTTTTCATTCAGAAATTTACATTTTGTTTTAATATAATAGAAAATGGAACTTCAATGGGGGGAGTGAGAACCAAAGGAAATTGGGTCACCTTTGGTAAAATCAGTTCCTTCATTGCTGAATGTATTTTATGCCAAACAGAATTGTATTTTAACAAAGAACAAATTAAATTGCAAAACATTAAACTGAAAGCTAGAGATCCAAATTTTATGGTATGTAAATCTAGATTAAGTTGCAGCTGCTAGAAACTAAACTCTCCTTAAGGCATGACAGTATTGAAACTATGCATATGTAGTATAAACTGACAAGAATAGGCCTGGCAAATGTATGGCAATATGCTCCAGCGGGTCTGGAGGAAAAAAAAAAAAAAGACGACAGAAATGAAGCTATTCAAAGAATATCGTGTGGCTTTTGTTACTCAAAACAGGCTTCTATTAGTGCAGTAATAATTTGGCTACTGATAGTAGCAGACAAAAAAAGGAACTGAACTCTAATTGGTTGACTAAAAATCCTTTTATTCAGTGTAGGATTTTTGTTGTTGTTTTGACATTACAAGAAGCCAAAAAGAGCCCACAGTTGCATGAAATGCTGCTTTCAGCAGCAAGATCTGCTTCAGCACCTCCTCCCACCCCACTTTGCTTCTGGTCACTACCCCTCAGTTGTTCAGCACAAGCAATGGTGGGGCTGCACCATTTCCCAGTCTACAAAGGGGATCCGGGTTAAAAACACCCGAGTATTTTAACTGATTGCATCAGTGAATTAGTTTTCAGTAGCACCCAAAAAAACATCATCCAAACAAATGGGTGACAGAATGCAGCACAGAGGCAGAAGCAGCAGAAATTAGAGCTGACTTTGCAGCAGATCCCTTAAATTGCACCTCATGTAAAGATCCTTTCTTAAACCAGTTACTATTACTAGTGTTTTGATTAGGGTGAAAAGACAGTTATAGATAGAGGATGGAAAGTTTATATTCCAACATTCACTGCAAGTCTTAAATGAGATGCACTAATTTCAGCAGTTAGTTGAATTCTAGCAAGTATTCTTGAGGTACCTCCAGTTTATTTATTTTGATGGTCAGAAGGGAAATCTCCATTTTATTAGAAAGCTCAATTAACAAAACCAGTAATTACGAGCCAGTTGTACTCTGACTGACTCTGATGGGATAACTCTTTCCATAGTAAGTTCTGGCATTCGCATAGGAACCCCAAAGCATCTATTCAACTGAATCTCTGTTCTCACGCCAAAAAAAATTACTTTTCATCTCTTGCAAAAAATGACAGTAAAAACGCCCTAAAATGTAAGTCTGCGCAACGGTTTTTACTTCGTATTTATTACACAGACAAGTATTTTAAAATATTAACCACAAATTAGAAAACAATTGTACTACTGTATAACCTTCAAAACAGGCTCTTTGTACATATCCACAATGATACAAAATATTTCATCACATACATATTTCTTTAGATGAAAGAAGGGATACTTTTGTTCCACACAAAAAGTATGCTCTGGTACATGATGATACTTTATACGGTACAGAAGTTTTCACCCCAGCTCATGTGAAATACCTTCCTCAGCACTGTATTTTTCCCCAGAAAAAAGCTGGATTCAAACCATTTTTCTGGCCTAGAATTCCTAAAGCTTTTCCAACAGGAATTTCTGTAACTTAGGAAGACATCACTATTTTTACAACAGCTAGCGATAGGGTCTTTATTAGGAGTGTCAGACAACATTAGTAAGACAGATAACTTATTTTAACATTAAAATGATGCTATGTTAGATGAAACATTAGCTTAAAAAAGATTACACACTCGCTTTCAAAACACCAGATGGGAGGGTTAATGACCTGCATTTTTATTTGAATGTAATTTTCTTTTATAACATTCAGAAGCAGTATGCAGCATCTGATTTATTTTAGTCAACATTTGGTTAAATTGGTCTTGAATCTCTCTTTTGCTCTAAAAAATAGGAATAGAAAGATTTCATTCCGTAAGACTCATGCTTGGGTGGTTCAGACCTACCCGATCTGAATCGGGTGCAATTTTTCCAAACACTACAGACCTGGTATTTATTTTTGTTTCTATTAAGTGACAAGTTTATTCTAGCTGTCCTCTTAGTAATTCCAAACAATCATTAGTGAAGTCTATCACCAAGACCAAAGTTAGCTAAATAACAGTTGGTTTTGAACAAGCTCAATGCTTAATTGAAAAGTCAAACTCAGCATGGAAAAATATGACAGTTTTTACACATACAGCCACACAGTTCTCCTACCAGCAACACTGATCATGATTTCAAATATTTAAGTAGAAATGCTGCCTCAGTGAAAACTGCAATATGACCAAAGTTACTCTTTTCTAATTCTGTGCAACTATGTCTTAAAGTATATCTTCCAGAAATTCTTCTGCCTAGCATCCCTCTGTTATTGCTGCTGAGTAGCCCGGCTATGACAGATTTTAGATCACCGTATGGTAGAAGCCACGGTTTCCACCCAACATGAAATGCCCTCTTGCACTTTTCATTGGGGACTTGAGACATGGCTAAGAGAGGTCTTTGCACCAGAATATACCTAAGGTTCCCTCTAGTCTGAACATGCTTCCAACACTGAGCAGGACTCACCCCGCAACTGTAAACCTGAACTAGCTAGTGACAAGGCACTGTGCATCCTGTGTTTTCACTAACTGCCCGCAGCAGCACAGAGCTGAAAGCTGCTCTTCCCTCCTTTATTATCACATAATGGAAAAGATTATTTTATAAAAGGAAGAGGAAACTGTGGAATGTAAGACAGCATTTGAGACTGAGAAACAGCAAAAAGATACAAGATTAGAAAGACATAACAACAGGAACTGATAAAGATAAAATAGTCAAGGCAAAAGAAACATCAACAAGGATTCAGGAGAGAAAGTAACAGTAGCACAAAAAGCCTTATCCTACAGAGACCGGAACTGAAATAGACAACCTGAACCAGTAACTAGCAATAGGTTAAGCGATGGGTCCGTGAGGTACAAGTTACAAGACATTCCAGAAGTTGTGGGGTAGCAAACACACACAAGATTACAAGCAGCACTACTTGCCTTCTCCAGTGGAGCTTCCCACTATCCTGTATCTGTAAGCAGGCTGGTTGCTCTAAAGGACAATTTTCCTTTTTGTTACATGTTCAGTTTTCCCTGCAAACTGCTCCAACCAGCAGTACCGGTGCTCAACTCTTCTACAGCTAATATTTTCCCCTATTAGTACTATAGGTGATTTGTGGCATCTTGCAAGCATTGCTGCCAGAGGTAGATTCTCAGGTCTATGTAAAAAAGTGGTAAAGTTGCCTACAACACATTATTTGAATGATGAAACTTTCAAGTTTGTCTATTTCATAGGGAAGCTTCCTGCCACTCTGCTTCAAACTGTGACTGAATTTTTAAAGGTATCCTAAAGGTAAGAGAATTTGTGATACTTCTGGAAGATTTCTACCCAGTTCTGAAAAGAAGTTAAACCATGAACAGACTTGTTCATGCTCAACCTAACTGCTATCCAGTCCTAAATACGCAGCGGTACTCAAATATCCAAACTTGTATCATCGTTCACAAATCCCTGTGATCTGGGTACTTTTCATTGTTTAGCCTATCAGTCTTTGCCTGTAGCAAAGTATCATGTTAACTGTTCAGGAAAATTGTTAATAGACATTCATCAAGGCAGCATACACAAGACATAAGGAACAGAAGAAGATCAAAGGTGATTCATACTGAAGGCTCTTTCGCCATTATGCCCACGATTTTTATAAGATTAAGAAACGGACTCTTCATGTGATCTACCAGCAATATTTTCAAACTTTATTAAGAACAATTTTAGTAAAAACCAGAATAAAGACTGAATTTCTCCAGAAAAGAATCCAAAGAGGGGAAAAAAGTTACAGTCAAATAAACTCAGCACAAAGTTTATGTATAACCATGTGAAGGAGCTGGCAGTTGGGAACACTCCTGAAACTGTGTGGTCACAAATTCTTAGCTCAAGTACAGCCATTCTGTTAATTCCTGAATATAACAGTTTAAAAAAAAGTAGATCACACATAGCACAGGGCTGCAAAAAGACAGAAATACAGGGAGAGACTAGATATTACTAGCAAGAAAGCAAGCTACATCTCAGCATAATTTTTTTTTAACAAGTAAAAATAGGCTCCAACAAAGAAATCAAAATAAATCAAGAAACCAGATGGAGAGAGAATTCTCATCGTATCTTCAGCATTTTGCTGCTGGTTTGACATCAAAAAGGCTGGGAATAAAAGCATGGAGAATGTAGGCTTCCATCCTCAAGGGCCAAATGCTCAGTCCTTCTCCAGTTTTGAATACAATCAACTAACCTGTATCAAGGAAGAATCACACACTCCATATTTTTTTAATCTGACTGTGACAAGATCCTAAGTTACCATGGATGGGAGGAAAAGAAATCAGTATTACCTCCCCCATTTATTCATACAGTCCAGAAAATGAGTAGAATGAATTACTGTTTGCAGACCATAATGAAAACTCTAGACAGAAGCAACCACTGTATCTCACCCTCTTCTCTCACAACTATCCATCAGCTAATTCTGACTCTATTTCAGGACAAATATGTATAACCCAGTGGTGTCAGAATGCAGGAACTCACCTGACATCGTCTGTTCCAGCCTGTGGATCAGTGACTTTTTAGCACATTCAACGTCAGGACTTGGGTAATCCAATACCTGCCTGCACCAAACTAATGGACTGACACATTTTTGCACTGGAGTCAGTTTCTTCTTTGGGGACGTATACAACCTGAAAAGGAGAGGGGAAAAAAAAAAATAAATGAAACCTATGAGGACAGACAAAATTAGGATATGATCAGCCATGTAACAGAAGACTACGTACTATGCTATTTCTATTTTTTATACTGTATCTACAGTACAATCCTAAAATATAAAGAAAGCACAAACTTTACCTTTAAATTAACTACTTTGGAAACAGAATAATACTGATAACAAATGGCTACCCAAGGACTTCTGGCAAGAAGTGATGTCTATATCGCTATATGCTGACTGATATGCCAGAAAAAAAAAATCTTCACTTTTCAGACACGTTAGCTACATGGACAATTTCACTATGTCACATAAATGTACAAATCAGGATTAATCTTCTCAGATTCGAGTAACATTCACCTGAAAGAAGGAAATAAAGCACTATGCAATATACAACTGTTGTTTTCCTAAACACAAAGATGTAGCAAGTATAAGCATCTTAATAGCCAAGGAACAATGCTAAAGTGCACAGAATGCATTACTATTTCAGTAGCCTTGAACAATAAACATTTTATTTTTACTTATAATTTGTATCCCAGCACCTGATCCTTTAGTTTTCCTTTGAACACAGAACAAAGAGACTATCTCTATCCTAAGGGGTATACAGTCTAGCATTAAAAACAAGGAACAAGAGATAATGCACATAGAGAGTAGAGAGAAACAATAAGATCATATTGTTCTGCAGGACATGCTGAGGCGCCTTTGCCCGTCAGCATCTCCATTCATTTATTTCAACATCTTTTTGCTGAATGAAAAAAAGCCTGAAGAAAGAAGTATTCCAGTTTAAATGCCCTAGAAATTTAGCTAAAAATTTCTCCTCCTTCAGCAAACAGATTGAAGGAAAAGTCATAACCAGTCACACACTCAAAATAGGGATATTTAAGCCTTATCTTTGGACTAGAACTGAACTTGGTAAAGTACTTCAGCAAAAGACAACAGTGAACTGCAAGATCTACAGCTCCAACTAGAGCTTATGCATATGCAGAAATGGTTAAACGAGTGTTTCTTCTAGGAGCAATGACAGACTTCATACTCCAAGTGAACACGATTGTATGCCACACACTGTAACTTAAGAACATTTGTCAGCCTAATTAGCTGTGCTTCCATACAAATCAGACAGCAAAAATTGTTTCCTTTATGCCAATGACATCAGCAACACAGAAGTTAGTTCCCACAGCTCTATTATGAGATTGTTAGCTGAGCCTTCCTCTGTAATTCTAGAACTTGAACTCAGTTTGTTTTATAAACAGCTTTAAAAGATACTTTTTTCTTATTATTACCCTTAAGGTCACTTACAAAAGCTTCCCAAAAAGCATGCTTATAAAACCACTATGAATATCTCACCCAAAACACTGATCACTGTTTATAGCATGCTCTGAAACACTCTTCCCTCAAACACTGAAAGCAGAAAGCTATGCTTGCAAATGCAGGAGAGAGGATTTTTATTAGTTGCCAGGTTTTCAAATGAAAATGAAGCCATTTGTAACAATATAAATAGCTGCTGCCACATGCTATAGTCCACGTGGCTTAAGATCTGGCCAGCATCACGCTGGTTGTTAAAACTGATTTTGTAGAAGTCCTCACAACCTTCACAGGCACTCCACCAGAAGAAAGGTTAAGAGCCCATCACGTATATATCCAAGATCCGTGGAAAGCACAAGAATCACTCAATTTTCACAGTTCTATGTAAACGATTATACAAACTGCTGTACTTTCTGTGATTATCTGCACGTAGTTAAAGGTGAAGTTTAACATTTACTAGCTCTCCAACACTTCAAATTTGCTGTTTTAGCCTTTATTTGCCTGTAGTCATTTCTGTCCTAAGGTATGTTTACACAATACAAAGAAGTGTCAAAGGCAACAAAGCCAATTTTTGTGCTGTACAGGCTAGACTCACTCCCAGCTCTCTGGATAGCTGACATGCCTTGCTGTGTTTGAGAAGTTCCATGCACATTTGAAGGGTTTACAATAATACCCGGTATAACAGGCATGAAATTAAAGTGCATGTCCTCTTTGAAAGACACACAAAAAGGGTATCTTCAACAAACCTACAAGACTACTCTAATCAAAATGGCATCTGATATTTTAAGGTCCAACACATTCTTTTCTGCAATTTCCAATTGTGCATTTGTTTCACAACTAGTTTATTTACTGAACCAACCCAAGCTCACGCGGCTCCCACTTTTCCACTTCTCTTTCTAACCAAACATATATTGCAGATTCTCCCACCTCTTTCCAGTCAATCAGTTTTCCTTCAACAGTCTTTGTTTCATACCTTACCTTTCAAGAAAAGACTGAAGATTAGAATATACATATTTCATGCAACTCCACTACCTCATGACAAACACATGTGCATCCATGCAGTAACACAATGGCTCTTTCAGGACAGTTTCTCACACATCATGCAATTATCAAGTCTCCTAACTATAAAGCAGTGATCTTAATTCCCCAGCTGACAAAGAACAGCCAATCTCCAGTTTTGAAGCTGACTTAATTCTGCTTGCTTTCCCTAATTTGGATTTCAGAAAAATAAGACCAAGGGCAGTCTTTGCAACATCAGGAAGGGAATAAGAACAGAAAGGAGACTATGAAGCATGTACAAATAACTTCATACAGCTAAGTGTTTGTCTTTGTCAAACTACTGTTTGACCCAAAAGATACAGGTACTCCTTAGCTGAAGAGCTTTCCAGAGAGATTCATTCCCATTTGTCCCTGTTAATGCATTCTACAGCAATGCAACAGCACTGATTGGCAGCACAGCAGCTTCAAGATTGAAGATTACCGGTATGACTTCATACATCTTTAAACACCACTAAATCACTTTCTCAAAACAGGAAGTCGAAAACGACTGAGGAAGCTGACAGCTTACAGTTACCACCCGTACTACAAACGTTAACACAGCAGAAACCTACACTCCAATTTCTCCACAAGAGTAAGGATTCTACAGTTCAGTGACACAAGGTCAAGTACAAGAAAACAGTATATAAAAAGTGGTCCAGGAGCTTTGATCTATTTTGAAACAGCATTAAGCAGCCCAGATACTATGGTTCTGCTGCACACAGTAATATTCCTTTCCTTCAGCTGTCACTAGTCAACTGTGCCACAGCAGCACCAATCTGAAGTTTAAAGCAGCCAGGGGCAATACTGATTAGTTCCAGGAAGACGCAGCACAAAAAGGGCAGAGCTTTTGCAGAAGGACTACTGTCACTACAAGCTCATACGATAACGTCAGCCAAATGGGACAAGCTGTAGCACGTTGCACTGGAACACAGCTGACTCAGAAAAGGCTTTCAAGAAAGAGGACACAACACTGAGGTAGGAATGGCATATCTGCATAGGGATTACCTCACCTGAGGAACACCTCCCAGCGCATTAAAACACAAGCAGCTAGTTGCCATAGGCATGAAACCAGAAGCCAGGATTCTAACCAGGAAGAAAGGAAGAACCTTTTTGTATCAAAACTCTTCTACTGCTCAGTACAAGAGTGAAGGAAAAAACATGCAGATGAATATGAAGTCACAGACCTGAATTAGAAAGAAGATGGCAAGTGGAAGGAACTTGAGTTAGAGCTCATTTATTTTAGCTACATTAACTTTAAGCAAAATCTGGCAGGTACAATAAGAGGCAATGGAACAAGGGAGCGGACAAAATATTGCAGGCAAAAGCAGGATCAAGAAGGCAACCTGAAGAAAATATGTAAAGGAAAAATAGAAATCTAAGGACAGACCAGTAAGAAATTCCCCTAAAATACAGGAGGAAAAGTGCACAACAAAAAGCTACTAAAAATAAGTAAATCAGGAGACAATAATACTGGACAGTCTTGGAAACAGACAGCTTAGAACACAACAGTGTCATTCTAAACTCTTTTAGATCAATCTAAAACTTTCAGGAGATCCTATCTGGAGCAATTTAAATAAGTTAAAATTTAAGATGGATTTTGAATAAACAGCTACAGGTAAAGATCTGAAAGGAATCTCTGGTTGAAAAAAAAAAATCCAAAACATAAGTGACATCCCTGCACATATCTAGTCCACAGATTTTCTCTTTCCTCCCCCACCCCTGCAAAGTTCCTATCCTGCAGTTGTAACTGACTGAGACTCACTGCTCAGCCTGTAACTACTAATTTGTTGGTATGCTTAACTGAATACTTCTAGTTCCGAGAGATGCATGAGTTACAGCAAAACTCCAGGTCTCTCAAAATAAGGAGATGAATATTACAAAAACGCTTTGACAATCTCATTAAAACTTCACATTAAAGCAGCATGTCTCAACTACACGATGCAATTTTCAAGTAGAATTGGGAGGATTCAGACAGGCTGCAAAGTGCAACTGGGAACACAACTACCTTCCTGTCATCAACAATTAAAGATAGTTAGCTGTGCTCTGGCTAGCTTTTGGAAATTATAGCCATTATTCATTTCCTCATCTCAAAAGAACATGTTGCTGTCTGAAAGGGATGTCGTAGAATCGGAAAAGGAGCCTTCAAAAGCTTGGAAGACTCCTGTAACACTAACATGTGGCTTCCCCAGAACTGTCACTTGTTGATACTTACACAGAATACAGAAAAGTTGAGAAGTTCTGTGTCCTATTTAAACATGTTCCAACATACAAGTCTGCTTAATTACTAGGCTTGAGAGCTCTACCAACAACTACAAAACGCAGAAATGTGAATCATGCCAAAACAAGACATGATTACGAGGTAAATTTCAAGAATACCATTAAGACAGTAAAGGAAATTCGTATTAAAGCTTCTGTAATATCAAAATATCAAACACATTTAAAAGCCATAAATATCATACAAGAAGTCAAAAATCGAAAAAAGTTCTTCCAACAGTCCTCGAACATCCATTTCACAAAAAACACAGGTATCTCAAAGACATTAGTCAAATGCAATATTATTTGATATTACACCAGTTGTTTCATTTGACAAACTGTTAATTTCTCTAATCCTTAGTTCTCTCATATTCTTTTCAAAT